CCGCACTTCAAACAAATTCACATTTACAAATCAAATTTAGACGTGAAATGATCGTTGAACTAATATAAGTTCAACAAAATCACTTACACTGCGTGTGTGTGTGTGTGTGTGTGTGTGTGTATGTGTGAATTTTAATTTCCTTCCAGAGTTTTCTTTTTCAATACCAGAGCCAAGGGTTTTCACCCTGAGTCCCCTGTGTGGTTCAGGCAACAAAAGCACTTTGGTTAAGGTTAGGATAAGATCATGGCTTCAGTTAAATGTTAATAAAGTAAACACATCCTGTCTCATGCCTCATGTTGCTTTTGAATTTTTCAGAATTTAACCAAGATCCACAACCTCTCCTCTACCTTAACAAATGCGTGTCTAAACATAACCATAAAAAAGTGTAATAACTCCTTAGCTGCTAGGAATATTGTAATGCAAAGATCGGGTATTGCCGGAAAAAAATAATGAAATATGTTGTCAGTAAAGTTTTTCAGATAACCTTGTGTAAGAACATTTCTGCGACTGGATAAGTTTATGTAAAAGTTAACTCATTATCTTAATCAAAAACATAACAGGTGGCTTTAGGTTTCTGTCAAAATCATATTTACTGTTGCACTATATAAACATAATGTAAGCAAGACGCTACAACATATGACATATATTTGACTTCTTTTTCCACAGACAAAACCACTCAAAAGTATTATGCAGGAGTAAGTTCACCTCTTCACTCCTTCCTGCCTCTTGCTCATTCTTTAGGAAGCAAAGATTGGTAGTTTGCGGTAATGTACATGTAGAACCCAAAGTGATTGTCTTGGAATAGATGAAAGGGCACCGCTGCCTTGAACTTTGAGTGGCTTCCATCTTTTTATCATCTCCCATTCCATTCACCCCTCCAAGGCTACTCAGAGATGAGGGAGATGGCAGGGGAAACAAAGAGCCTGTACCTCCACCATCTCGCCTTCCCTTTGTTGCGCTCTCTCCATCACTGTTAGTCACACATGATTATGCCCTGTCGACTGCCGACCAAGTGTTGCTATTTGCCTGTAATAGCATGACAATCAGTGTCAATCTGTCCTGGGTCTCCGAATTTTGTTCACACTGTGTGTCCTTTCACTATGCGCTTTACATATGGTTAGCATACACAGATGTGTGTCTTCAAACTGTTGATCCGGTTTATACATCTATCAGTGCATGAGAAGAAAATGCTGTACAGTGCGACCGTGTACAAAGTTAATAAAGATTTTTCCATGTAAATACCCACTTGGCACAATATTCTAGCCTGCATCTAAAGGGTAAACAATTGACTGTCAGCACTTGTCAAATCAGTTATGTTTCATTGGTTAGAGTGTTGTTTAGAATTGTTTTCACAGTCGACACCAAAGATGAGAACGAGGGTTAAGAAATAAAATGACTAAAAGGGAATGATTGAAGACAAGGCAGTGAGGGAACAGCATCTTCAAGTGTTTTCTGCTTCACCTTTAATCTATGGAAATGTATGGTGCAGATGAAGTATAATTATAAGGTGGACTTTGACCATTAAAATCTCTCAAGTGCTTGTTGCAGGAGGGGCCACCGGGAGACCGGGCAGTAATCACTACGGGTTCACTCCGCTGATGATGGGGAGGGAATTAATTTACCCTGGAGAAAAACAAATTAAGGCTCTACTCAGCCCAGCGCTCCGTCACACAATAGCATATATAAATATTTTATCTTGGGTGATCCAGGTTAGCAAAGGTTTAGTACATCTCCATTTTCACAAGAGCCCGCTCTCCGTGCCGTGGCCTCCGCGCCCCTCTCGGCTCTCCTTCTGATGAGTGCCTGCTGTCCTCTCCTTCACCTCCCTGTCTTCCTCCTTTCACTTTCCTCGCCACCTCTCCATCCTCCAGCAGTGCCTTTCTCACTCGCGTGTGCTATTTCTCCTCTCGCGCACTCCTCCACTCGAACTCCCTCTGTCTCCTGTCTGCACTTTTCCTCCACCTCCTCCAGTTGTTAAAGACAGAAATCCAAATATTCATTCTTGTGATCAACTTGCATGGCTCCGATGTCTTAATCCGCTCTGACGCAGACGTATCACTTGCTGACAGACAGTGCAGAGTACACCGTGAAAAACAGGATTCGGCTGACACGGATGAAAATGTCACAGTGATTTATGGACCCGTGTATAAATCAAGTTTTGGGCTGCACTGTATTGTAGAAACAACTCACTTTTCCTGTTTAAAATGGAGCACTGATCCTGTTGGATGTTTTGGATTGCAATAAATTTCCCCCGGCAAAAATATGGGGTTTGTTATTTTAGCTTCCTGTTTCACTTGCTTTCCAGTTGAACAATAAAAAATAAGAGCGTGTCATTCTATATTATAGGAAATACAATAATATTGTAAAATGGCTTTCCTCTGAATTGGCCCCTACTAAGATTGCTGCTTGTAAAGAAATACCTTCAGTTATAGGTCCCCAGAATGTGTCTTCTAGCCCTCAGTTGGATAGGTACAGTATTTATCAAATTAATAATAATAACTAACTGCTGTGTTTATTGTAGATTTTTGTTTATATCAGTAGAAGTTAGCTCTGCCATAGACTGGTGACCTATTCAGGGTGTTCGCTGCCACTCCCCCAATGCATGCTGAGATGTAGCAGCGCAGCAATGGATGGTTGGACGTTTGACAGGGAGGGTCATAGTTTACTCAATGTTTTTATTAAACCCGGCTTCACTTTTTGTGACTAGTGGTGGAATGTAACAAAGTACATATAAGTACTGTCCAGTACTTGTGTACAAATTTTAGGTACTTGTACTTGAGTATTTCCATTTCACTCCACTTTATACTTTTAGCTGACAGCACTAGAAGGAAAAGTTGGACTATATATTTTTTTACATAGAAAACATATGTTAAGCTTGTAAATCACGATGAAGTTTTATAAACTATAGTGGAAAAAATAATAAAAAATTAGCAACCCTGAAACTACAACAGTAAAATGCTGCTTACTCACAACAACCTAATGATGTGATATATAATAATAGTTATTTTCACTCACATTGGTCATTTTTACTGTTGTTTTAGTACATTTTGCTTTATTGACATTCCTGAGTTACTTTGTAATTGAGTAGTTTTACTGTGTGATTTTGCTACTTTTACCTAAGTGAAGGCTCTGAATACTTCCTCGGCCGCTGTGTATGACAACCTCTGCTGTAGTTACACTGGCATTGAAATGAGCCTCATGTGTGTTGTTGTGCTGACGTGGTGTTGTTGTTTTTGTTGTCAACAAAGTGAGGCAATTAGAGCCACAGCAAGCCGGTAATGACTGCGGTGCTGAGGGAGCGCACGAGGGCAGGGCGACACCCGGTGTGAGAAACAGCACGCGCCCCTGCCCTGCGTCCCCGCCTCACAGCAAGGAGGCTCGTGCTTTAATGAGAGGGATTTAATGGATTTATAGCGGTTGAGGATTCCTGTGTGTCCGCATGCTCTTGGCTGCGCCGGCTAGAAAAGTCTGTAATAATTGGTGAGCCGCCGCTACATTAACACGAACCAGAGAGAGAGAGAGAGAGAGAGAGAGAGAAACTGCATCTCCTCTTGACTGCTTTCCCACGGCCATGATGAAAACAGGTAGCCTAGGCCAACACAGATGTGCGCAGTGAGAAGAGGATTGTGTGAGTAGTGTGAAAATTTGCATGTGAACATTTGTAGACGTGAAGGTAATTTCCCCACATTTCTTTTTGGACAGGGTTTTTCATAGAAGTTCTGTTGCATACAGAGTGAAGTTTGTTAACGGTGGAACCAGCCTGCTATGAACTGACACCAGTATTTTACATGGTACAATAAACATTAACATGTGGTGGACAGGTGTATTATAAAGAAGAAAGAAACCAACAACCTTTTCTTAATAAATAGGCTGAAATTGTATTTCTTTTTGTGGATGCTTTTGGTGTAAAATACTTGTGTTTACATATCTTTTAAGTGCAGATAATGTTCAGTAATGGGGTCAGTAGTGTGTGTATTTGTATTTTATATTGTTCATGGAACCTTAAATAAAGAAAGAAATGAAGTACGACGGCCTCGTAGAATTTTAAAGATTTGCTTTTATTAAATATATTTTATTGACATGTTAGTGCATGTTGTTAAATTGCCAACTGAAGTTCACACTCTCTTTTGTTATTAGCCACAATGTTATCCTAACTTGGCGAATATTTCTGCCAATAAGGCTTTGAATTTAGAGGCACAATTTGTGGCTTTAGTGGCTTGTAATTCCGCTTTAATCCAACCTTTTCAGACTGAACTACTCACCAGCTGTCACTGAGTCACAGTGTCCTCTGCTTTGTGAATCGATAGGCCCAGTCTGCTAATTTATTGTTAATATGTCTATTGATCAAGTGTCCTCTGGGACCAGATAGAGAAACAGCCCCTTAAGCCTAGTTCAACTAAATCCCTAAGTAACATCACATCAAACAAATACCATCAAGTGAAATCGCCATGATGAGCCAAGCCATTATAACTGAATGAATAGATTAAAGCCTCATTGAGAAACTATATTATTATTACCACTAAATTTCATATATACTGTTTAATTGCTATATATTGCTTATTTCTTCTAAAGCTATGAATAGATATTTATAATAATCAATTGTTATAATGTTTTTGTTATTAAATGTCAATCTGAAATGAGCAGAAAATGTGATTTTGTACACACACATTCATAACAGATAACTTATATGTCAACATTTATATCACATCTGACCCAAATATCTTGTCTCCCAAACCTCATCTGATTTTAATAAATCGCATCAAAATGAAAACACCGGTTGCAAAACCATGAGCACTTATTGAGTTAACAAGTTAAATTCTCCTTTCCCTCGCAGCTCACCCGCTCACAGGCTGAGGAGAATTTCAGGACAAAAGAAACATTTAGTGTCTGCTTGTTTATTCCTGTGCTCGCTCTGTATTTATTCACTCCTGTCACTCATCTTTTTTTTTCTCCCCCCTCTCTCCACCTCGCTCTCCCCTGCGGCTTTCTCTCACACACAGGCAGTGTGATGGCGCTGCAGCAGAGAGAGAAAGATCTGGGTGACCATCTGAAACCAATTATGGCGGCGCTGCAGCCACCCAGAAACTCAGTGACGGATGGGGATCTTGTATTTATAGCTGGGGTAATTGGCAACACTCAGACGCACACGTAACGCGCACACACAAGGAAGTACAAAGAAATAGATACTTTTTAAATGTACACTCATAAGGCATAGTGTGCGTTTACACTCAGGGAAAAACATCTCACACACACACACACACACACATAGACACACATGCACAGGCCTCACAGGCAGCAGAAAAGGTGCCTTTCATGCAAGTGACATAGCCAGTGTATTAAACAAATACCTTTTGTCATAAGAAGACAAATAAGGCTCAGGGATGGTCAGGGAGGCATGTTTGTGTTTTGCACGGTCTAATCAGAGCTGATGTTTACAGCCGGTACTGCAGTCGGAACAGAGGTTGTGCATCTCGGCTATCTGTCTGAGCCTGTCAGCGCGTCAAACCTGCATGTGAAAACATATACAAAACACATCTGCCTCTTGTTAGACGCCATAAATGGCTGCCATGTGGTCTGCTGATAAATAGGCCAGTCTATTTATTGGAGCACAACAAATTGGCTACAAACACTGACAAGGAATTGAAGAACTATAAATATTGCGATGTGATGAAATCTTTAAACGTGCTGCAGGTATTTTACGAGGGTCCCCACTCCTTTGCCTTTTTTATGTAGTTGGAGGTATTTCTTTTGACCGCTTTCTTCTTTCACACACCGCCTTGTTAAATAGGTGGGAGGGGGGGACAATGGCACTCTCACACTGAGCAGGTCCAGGGCTGTGTGTGTGTGTGTGTGTGTGTGTTTGTGTGTGGCTTGGCCGCACTAAAGCTGAGCAGATCCGCCACTTGAGAACGATAAAGAGCCCTGTTACACCCGAATTCTCAGAGAGACGTAACCAGAAATTCCTGAATGAATCGGCAACAGACAAGCCCTAAACCCCGTGTAATTACATATTTGGAGTTTATCGGGGTTTATGCGAAAATGCACAAGTTTCCCTTCCCTGGTGGTCCTTAAACACATCCATATGTTTCCATTTCTGCTCCTCCCTCTGCTCTCTCTCTCTCTCTCTCTCTCTCTCTCTCTCTCTCTCTCTCTCTCTCTCTCTCTCTCTCTCCCCTCCTGTATCTTCCACCTCCTATTTTTCCTCCATGAAAAATGGCTGTGGCGTACACATGGATGATGTGACCCGTTGGAGTGGTGTTTTCCTATTGTTAAGTTGTTGTTGACTCTCTAGACTCACAGTGGGACAGATCCAGTTTGGTGTTTTGGAGCGTGTCAAGGCCATCAGCACTGGGCCAGAGCTCTTAGTGGAACTGTGTGCAAACAGAGGAAGCCGCAGCCTGTCCACATCGCACAGACTGGAACACACACACAAATCTGGGGAGGCCTTCTATCGTGTGTGGGCCATTTTTTTTTTTTTTTTTAATTTCTTTTCCTCCCCGTCTGCCTCTCGCTCTCCTTCTTGCTCTCTGTGCTTCTCCCTGCTTGAGAAAACTGATCTGTTTTAAAACACGTGCTAAATATTACCATATTTACATTTTCCTGTTTCAAGAAGGCAGCAAAGGTGGGTGGTGGGTGGAGGGACGGGGGAAGTGTGTGGTGTGGATTTTTCTTTTCTTTTCTTTTTTTTTTCAGTGGAAAGGTCTCGGTCCGGGGTTAGGCTCTGTTTGAAACTTTAAACCTTTTTCATGCTTATTTGTTTTATGATTCTGCAGGGCACTGTGTTTACACTAAGAGTGCAACATCTGGATTAGATAATTTGTTTGGAATTAACTCAGCCCGAATGCTTATCGACCTCATCTGATTACATCTGTTTGATGTTTGGGCCTTTTTTTTAGCTTTCATTAGTTTTCAGCCGGCTCACCGGTATTCCGTTTTTGCTGTACATTTTTGTTTGATATGTTTTCCGACAAATGAGGGATTAACATTGTGCAGCATTAACCTTGCCTCTAATCATCAGCAGCAGCAGGCCTCTCCGTGTACTGTCACAGCTCTCCCGTCACAGCAGCGCTGGCCTCTCCATAATGGCTTATTCCAAATTAAATCTCACTGTAATTTTTGACTTTCCAGTGACAAAAGACACTGCTGGAGTGGACATGTCATTGCTGCTATGGTTGTGCATAGCATTAAGAGGACACACTAACTGATCGAACCCTTCTCAAAGAATAATCTGGAACCTGATGCTGTTAATAACATTTATATAAAACAGTAGCTTATGTAATATAATGAAATGCAAAGAACTGGTGACTCATAATGACTTTCAAGCAACTGTCATATAAAGGATCTATTAGTCACTCTTTATACTTTCATCAGGATTGTGTTAATGTTTTAAACTTTTATGGCTTAATCTACAGTATTTCTCTGTCCTCCCCATTTCCATTCTTCCCTCATGTTTTTCTCCCTCTTAATCACTGCCTTTCATGTATATTTTATTAGCTACAACCAGCAGCTACAGTGCTTCACTCACAGAGTTGGTTGTCTCAGACAAACTTGATATAGCCATTAGGACAGTTTGAGCCTAATTGCTCTGCCACTTCAAGTTTACTGGGGTTTTTAAGCGTAGTATTGCTGGAGTAGAAATCTCTTATACTCTGTGAGTTTAGCAACAAACTGGTTGCATATTTTCCTGTATTTAGTGATTTGTGTAGGGTTGGGTGATATGAAGATATGGCCCGTGAGAGGAAACGTCAGACATTCTTCTGCCATTTATACCGCAGTTGCTGTCCTTGTAATATCTGTGGGTGTAATAGAGCAGAATGGGAAAACCTATTTGTAGGATTGCGTTTGGCAATATTGGTTTAACTGGACTGTTGCATCACACAGCTGAAGCTGTGGTTGGCAATTTATTTTAGAAAGTTTTTTTTATGTTTATTCAGTCTGACTGAATTGATTGGCTGGCCTACCAGCCTACCTGCCTGTGGAAGCTGAAGGGAGTGGGGGTTTATTTTTCAGTTGCTTTCCAAAATCTAGCTGTCTCTTGCTAGTTTCTCCAACTTTATCTACTGCAGCTTTAATTTAGCCAAGTACTTAGTTCGATGGATTAACCAGAAACAGACATTAACCTCTGTTTCACAATGCATGTTGATATCGCAATATAAAGGTACACATATCGTGGTTGAAGAATCTAACTTTCATTGTTGTCTTGTTTAAAACACACAATTTAACTTGGCTCAATAAAAGTTTCTCAACATTAAGCTAATGGACATGTGATGGGACATTTATTTCTGGCTCTTATCCATGCTACTGACTTTGCCTGACTAAAACATGTCCCCCCTGGCCTCTGTCAGGCTTTATCTCCATTCCGCGATCCATTACAAAGCTGCCTGCTGTCCCCTGGGTGATCTGCCATGTCCCCTCTAATCTGGCTGAGCTGCTGTGATTCCATCACTCCCCGACGAACCACACAGAAAGATTAGTCAGACTCTGCGTCCAACAGATGTGTCCAGCACTTGATTTGTGTGTGTTTTATTGACTCTGGCCATCTGTTAATACAGTTGCTGGTTCCTCCCCTTGTGTTTGTTGATGCACACAGACAGGGGAGCTGAGTGCCAGAAGAAACATTCAGCAAAGGAGAGATGAGAGATAGAGAAAGAAAGAGCAGAGAGAGAATGGAGTTTGGAGGTAGGAGGGTAATATTTCATAAAAGGCTGCTGGTTTAAGTGTTAACCTGCACCCTGCTGTATTCCTGCATATAGAACGGAAGCATTTGTCGTCGTTTTTAGTTGAGTCAGAGCGTTGATTCAGGATAGCAGGCAAGCAGCGGTAGTTGATGAATGAGTCTCAGATGTTCAGTGCTTTCACTAAACAGTAAGAACTTAGATTCCTTCACTAGGAGGAAAGTGAAAGATTGCTTTAGATATCTGAAATTCCTCACGGTTCCATTCCTTAGATTTCCTCTCAACACTGAAGACACATACGGAGCAGTTGCTGTCAGCATTCCTTGGATTGTCCATTTATGTGTGTGTGTGTGTGTGTGTGTGTATAAATCTGCGCATGTATGTGCCTGTGCATGCTTATGGGCATTGCTGGAATGTTCTGGCCATGCAAAAGGATGATAATGCCTAACAGTTGCAGTCGCTTGTGTTGGGTTTTGTTGTCTCGTGTTTTCTTGGACATTCCACCCGACTCCTTGTCTTCCTCCTTTCTTAGTCAGTCACTCCTCCTCGCAGCCTTCACTCCCATGGTGTCTTTTTCCCTCTCCCCCTGTCTCGCATAACATTTGTGTGGATGCCTTGGAAGCCAGAGAGCTTATGAAAACTTTTGCCTCACATTAATTTTCCTCCATCCTACTAAAATGCCTAAAAAGTGACATAGATTACATTAAAGCTTAACCTACTCACTCAGCAAGAATTACATCATTTAGTCACTGCAATCTCAGATTTTTTTTTTTACACTTTCTTTTATTTGTCCTCTTCTCGCTGGCTGCCCTCCTTCCCTGCATTCCTCCCATCAGTCTCCTATGAAGCTGCATGTTTGCCCACTGAATGGAAAGTTAAGAGCGGTCTGCATTGAGCTGCCTCGCTCTTTACGGCAGCAGTGATGTTGCTTCTTGCTACCCTCTCTGCCGTGTCATGATGATGTGATTTCTTGACACAGGCGTCACTCGGGCCAGCTGAAACCCCAGAACTCCATGTGAACCTGCTGAAAGGGAGGTGGCGTCCGGCCTGGATAAACACAGTGTGAAGGGGAGCCGGGGACACAGCCTGTTGGTCCTAAATGTGGAGGAAAAATGTCCAGTAACTGGGCCTGTGGGGAACGAGCAGGGCCAAGGCTAACCCTAACATAGGCTCACTGGGAGCATGCATAAGAGTAAAGTTGGATCCATGCTTCTCTGACCGACGTATAGGTAACAGACAGGATTTGGACCTGGGTCTTGCAAACAGGAAATCAATTTCCAGGGAGCTGTATCCCCTTTGCAAGGCTGCAAAGTTTAATTCACTTCTAAATCAACCTACCAAGAAGCTGTGTTTGAAAATAAAAGTTGAAAATAACCGTAAAATTGCTGCAATAACCTATAAGGAAGTGATTTGCGATTGAGTGGATGTTATCGTTAAATGAAGTGCAGTTTTAAATTACATGTTAAACTGAGTAAACTGAGAGCAAATTGACCTCAACTCTACAAGGGAAACATTTGAGCTTTACATGGACATGCACTGCTACTTATGTATCCACCCTTCGTCCTGTACATTCACCCCTCTGAAGAGGAATGGATATCGCCCTTCATGCTTTTTACCTCATTGACTCTTTGTTCCCCCTTCAACTTTGACCGCTGAAAGGTTTAAGCACAGTCCAGGCAAGCAGCAGGGGTTCATGGTAGGGAAAAACACACACACACACACACACACACACACACACACACACACACACACACACACACACACACACACACACACACAGAACACTGCATTCAGAGCTAGAGGTGTTAGTAGACTTCGGGGTCAAATATTCAGAAATAATTCTTATTGCATATTTTAAGCTGCATGAAGTGTCAGATGGGCTGCGTTGACCCAGTCAGAGGAACTCAGATGGTATCAGGACAATAAGTCTAGTAATTGACTTTCAGAGACTCAGCTGTGTTTGTCTAAACTTGTTGGCACTATCTGATAACCTCCACCCACCCAGAACCAGCAGGATTAAACCGTATATACATGTGGATCAGCCCGTTCTCATACCCAGGTCTTAAAATCCCGATGTTTTGTCACACCCCTCGGCATTACATACAGACTAGAGGATGACAGAGTGGATCGTCCCATCCTGTTCTCGATAATACAAAATCAGTAAATGGTGTTTATTCATATTAGAACTGCATATTTAAATTATCTATGATGCCCACCTCGCCCAGTCCTGTAAAAAAAAATTCTGCCTATTCCCATTCCTGTGATAATTAATGAAATGTACTATACATATAAATTATACAGTGTATAATATATAATAGTCTCTTTTGTTATTTTATAGCTTGTACCTATTTTTTATTCATTATTTTTATATTTATAAAGGTTTATGTCTGGCACCTAGTCACCATAGCAAATTCCTTGTAAGTGTCAAAATGACTTAAAGCTGATTCTGATTCTCAAATTGAGTCTCGTCCCACAGGAATCCTGTGACCCGCAGGATTCCCAAAAAAATGTCAACCTCTAAAACAGATGGGCTAAGTATCCTTTAGCATCTGTATGAGGGGTCTGACAAACACAGGACTTTAACCCAGGAGACTGGAGTTTGTGTCCCGTGTGAAACCAAAAGTCAACAGTTTACTTACAGAATATAAAGTTACATTACCTATGTGACTCACGTCATGTGACATACTTATTTTAACCCAAACCAGGTTTTCCTAAATCTAACCAAATAGTTTTGGTGTCTAAACCTAGCCAAATAAAACCGTTTCAAAACGTTAACCACGACTTAAAAAGGCGTCTCGTACAGACGCTAAAGGGTATGAGACGCAGAGGGGCGTTGACAAAGCGTCTGTATTTGACGACCTTGGAATGAGAACGGGTTGGACAGATATATGAACACCAAGCAGTGTTTCTTTTTATCCATCTGTGACAGGTGAATCAAGAAAATGCTGGTTTAATAGTTAGAACACAGTCCTATTGTCTAATCAGTTATAATACAATTTTGTAACAAAACTGCAATAATACCTAATTTATTTATTTATAGATTGAGCTTGTAATTTTAACTCCCAATTAGCTAAGCAATTTACCAAACACAAAGCACCATTTAATGGCTGGAGAAGATTTTTACCCTGATGAATGATGAATGAATGTATGTTTAATATATTATTAATTTTATATATATATATATATTCATCCACTCTCCTTGGTGGCCATCCTTCTTTTTATCATTGTGTTTTAGGAAATAAAACCCTTTTGAACTTGTTCTGGTTCAACTCCATGGCCACTTGTTCTACGTCCCTCCCCAGTGCTACCTCACAACCTCCGGGAAGCAGTTAATGCTTTAATTGGCACTTAATTAGTTAATTAACCCCAGAGTTGTTGGGAGGGGAGGGGGGTAACAGGGTGATGAGGGCTTGAGGGCGCAGGTGAGGGTGGAGAGGATTGGCCCAAGGTGCTTCCTGTGTCACATCACCAGCGGAGGTACCCATCAACCCCTTTGAACTGGGACACAAACACTGGAAACACTTTCATCGGGCCGATGTCATCACAGCCGGGTCCCATGTATATGTATGGGACTGTCTGAAAATATACAAAGTCCAATTTGCCCGGGACAGACCAACCTCAGGATAATGAATCACATGTGATGTGTATCTGATATGCAGCCTGAGTCATCACCAGATGTTTTGACAGGATTACTTCCAGTTCTGGAAAAGAACAGTGGATTTTCAAAGAGAAACCAACAACGCTCCATCAAGTGAGACAAAGGAAAGAAGTCAACAAACATTTGCTGCCACGATGAGTAAAACATAAAAGTTTATAAATATTCTGTACTGGAATGCCCTCAGTTCCTCTGGAAGGCAGACCAAAGTGTTTCTCATGTCTATAATTGGGGGTACACATGCCAAATGAGAGGAGTTTTGAGGTCAAGTACAGAAGAGGAAGTAACTTGGGCACCAGGCCTTCAGATAAAAGCTTACAGGTGGAACTAAGTACAGTCCTACATATGTAGGCAAGCTGTGGCGCTTGTTTGTTCTGGTGTCTATTTGTATGCGGAAAATGCAGCTCCCAGCGCATAATGTGTTTGCTCAGTCGAAGTATAGCATGTACTCTGGATAGCATTCCCTGTCTCTTTCACTTGGCAAAAACACATGAACCTGTGTGAATTTGTGAACCCATGTGCAAACCTCAAAACACTGACATACCCACACAAACGCGGAGAAACACACATACACGTCTCTTGTTCTTTCTCACATATGCTTGTTGTTTCACTCGCAACTTACTTCAGGTCTCATCCTGCTTGCTGTTTCCTTGGAAATTAATAACCTAGAATAAATTTTTTTCTTGGACTTGATCTGTGTGTGACTTTGTGTGTGTGGGTTCGTGCATTTGCCCCTGTGCGTTTGCACCCATGTGTGTGCATCAGAGAGGGACGCCCAGCAGGCAGTGTTGTTGTAGGTGAGGGTGAGGAGCCCCCTGATGGGCAACTGTGGCAGAGAGGCCAGCTTTGATCAAAGGCCCAAGAAGAAGAGGGGGAGGGATGGGGAGAGCAGCAGGCCATCCAGAAGAGAGAAGAGGTGAAGCAGGGCTGCAGAATAGGGGACCCCGGATGACGGTGTCCTTGAGACTATGGTGGGACCCTCCAACAAGCAAGAAAAAAACACCTGCTTCCCTGCCTCCACCACACTAGAATACACTCCTCTGTCAGTACTGAAAAATTGTAACTTATCATGTGCATGGATGTTAGTGTTGCAAAATAGTGTCAGAAGTGTCTAAAAAGTGAATTTTCTTTCTGAATTAATTTTCTTTTGTAACATTTGGAGCGCCTCTGAGAGGACGCCAAATCTGACTCCATTTCTGCATTAGATTTCCTCCTCTGATGAGATGAAAAAATTCAATTTATTCAATAGGCTCTGGGCAGCGAATTGATTGTCGACAGATTGAGTTACGCTGAGAATCTGTGGGAAGTCTCACAAAAGGAGACGACCTAACTAAGGGCATGTGTGCAAGGAGCCGTGTGGCCAGACTAATGTATTCAGACGAAATTCATGTCGCTTAGGTCATTCTGGCTTTACATTTGCCTTGAGGGAGACGTATTAAGCCCTCAGTTCTTCCAAATAAGACGCTTTGATTTTGACTTCTTATATTTAATTTTGCTTCTTTGGGCTTCCTGGTCATATTGAGTTGAAGATTACGATTTATGTTTAAAATTAATTCAAACTATTTTTTAATTTGTCAAACGTTTTTCATAAAAATAACTATTTATATTTTTTGCTAATAAATGTACCAGAAATCAAGGGAGACACACCAACAATGCTGTGAATTTTGATATTTAATTGTAATAGATATTGGCCTGTACAGACTTGGGTATTTATAGCAACTTTTGCCACATTGTGGAAATCCTGCCAAACTCAGGAGCTGAGAAATTATATTAGAAAATGAAATAAACTCATAAAAGTAGTCTTTGAAACACGAGGTCATGCAATCTTGAAACAAGCCAGCTTTCTCTGCCAAGCACAACTACAAACATCCCTCCAAATCCAGGCTTCATTGGCCTTGACGCACTCCCAGAGAAAATTAAATTTGACAAAATAAATGAATGCCAGTGCGCCACTTCAGCAGGCCAGGTCATGCAGCTCCTTCTGTCAGATGTAAAACATTTGTTAAATGTGTTGGTTATTAAGCACTTTTTTCTTCTTTGGTGTTGGGGTGCTGTTTTAAAAACAAACAAACAATGACAGTAACAATAAAAAGAACAAAAAGTTATTTTTTTTTTTTTTTTATTATTATTTATTTTAAATAGTATTGTATTTTAGCCCACTATGAGCTAGTATACTATTTGGCTTATTACCACCATTTTAATTAGGTGTTTTAACGTTATTTATTTTTCATTAAATAATAAATTTATTTAGATTTATTTAGAAAATATCTGCTCATGTCTGCTCAATTAATGCACCATTTAGATGTGAATTGTATTATGTAAATCAAATATCTCAAGCAAAATGATGCTAATAAAGAATAGATTTTTTTAGAAGTCTTTAAGAATTCTGTAATGGATGATGTTATTTGGTGGCCCAGGAGTTGGTCTGTGAATCACAGCACACAGCAGCGTCAGTGTATGGAAATGGAGCACATGTGTTTCAGCTTTGGCTGCATGATGCAGGTTTCATGCCGTTGTGCGCTTGGTACAATGATGGAGAATTGTTTTCTTAACCTCTTCATTCACCTGCATAATGTCGTTGTTAAGCATTACAATGAATGATGTTTAGATAAGGATAAAGACAGATTAGGGAAGAACAAAAAAAAATAAAAAATAGAATCCGGCCTCTGCTGGACCTTGAAAATGGGTGTTAAATAGTCAGATCAGCCTTTGTTGGCAGCGAGAATACTGAATGCGGGAGTGAAGTTATGACAAATGAGGGGAGCCGCTGGTGTGTGCAGCCTGGCAGCAAGCAGACAATTAAAGGCACCCTGATGACTGTACAGCTCCCCGCGTGTCATTAGTGACTCAGGGAATAATGGCCGTATCATTGCGACGTACAGTTACATAGACTGGCTCTGATAGGGGAGGCTGTAACTGTCAATCACGTGGCTCAATATTTGGCCCTAAACTTCTCTTTAGGGACAAATAAAATGTAAGTGTGGTGAAACTCCCACTTTCGGTCCTTAGAAACTAACATCCTTATTAAAATAATGGCAGATCAGCTCATGCCCTGATTTTACACAAAAAAGAAACCAATCAAGTTCACTTGCATTTCATAAAGAGATCCAGTTTCTTTTGCCATATAGGCTTAATTTCATATTTTCTTGTTTTTTTGTTTTGTTTAAAAAATAAGATTGCATTTTTGAGACTGAATGCGTGACCACGGGGCTTGTTATGATGCAGTGTATATTTCCAGGGTTCTTCTTCATTGATGTTAAAACGGACATTGACTTCCGTTATAATTACAGCTGTGTTGATCTCCATAGAGAGAGAATGACGCTTGCTGGGCCACAAGCCCGAGCCTGCTGCTCTGCATGCGAAGGGGAGACGCTGGCCCTGTGCAGAGCTGTTTAGTGTGGTTTCAGAGGAGTGCCGGTGCCATATGCGCTGCCTGTCCTGCTTGATGCGTGTGCGCCTTGTGGGGTACACTAAAAAAGAAATACAACAATTAGACATGAATGTGTGTGTCCAAACAAACGAATCAAAGGGCCGTTGTGTTTGTAGGACGATGACTGGTGGGAGAGAGAAATCTCCCCCCTTCTCTCTTTCTCTCTGGGCTGACCCCGCGTTTGAGTCCTGCGGTGCGAGGCCGACATACACAGATGGGCTGCAGTCTCTCTTTCTGTCGCTCCGCTCACTCTTTCATTATTTGCATTTTACTCCCAGTTCAGTTCATATGAATTCAGTTCAGCTTAATTCAACTCCATAACTCAATTTAGGTCTCTTCAGAAGCCTGTTTGCTGCAGCAAACGATGGTGTGAATAAAAAAATTTAATAAAAAGAAAAACACCCATCTATACAGAATAAAACAAAAGATTTTTAAAGTGCATTAAAAACATCCCTCTGTCTGTCTCCCTCCCACAACAAACAAACAGCAGTCAGGCCCTGTCCCAGACAGCAAAAATACAGTGTTATGGTTTTCCTGCAGACACGTGAGGATGTGGTTGTGCTCCATCAAATGTAATAACGGGACCAAAACAACTGTCATGCTTATAGGTCATATTGTCCAAAAACAATATGACGCGTGATGATTTACTTAAGATAGTGACCGTGTTTGGAAATGCAAGAATAAAAGATAAAAAATAAAATTAAAAAAAACGGCGACAAAGATAGAATTTCCAGAGCAGCAATTTTAGACAACATTTGATATCCCACAAATGTTTTTTTTATAGAAATAGAAACTGAGCGCTTGTGCTGGATTTAATGCCAATTTCTGCTTTGTGTAATTATTTTTTTATTTAAACTTCAAATTTGAGCGTGTGTTTTAGAGTAGTTTCGGGGTAAAGTCTGGGTTAGCTGTGGGACACGGTCGCTGTGTTTTGAAGTTATTCTGAAGCCATAAACATGCGTTTTTCACAAACTTACACTTTTTAATGTGTGAAATCTCAGCGCAGCCTGTGTGGGCCCGCGGCGGGTGGAAACCTCATGTCCATTTAGCTCTGCTGTCCCGACACCACACTGTCTGAGCCTCAGCCGTGCTCTCCATCCCTCTCTCAACCTCCCAAGCTGCTCGGAGAAGGTATAAAGCTCCACGAGTATAATGGACCCGGGGGCCAACAAAGCGGTGGAGCTGCGGGGCCCCGGCCGCGCAGGGTCTGCGTTTGCAAGCCTCCGGTGGTTGAGGCGAGGCGTTGCATGGGGCTGGGGGGCTCCCACTGCATTAGGCAGTAATAGGTTTGGGATGACTTAAACGATTTGTTGACTGGGACAATAAATCTGTTGTGTGTTTCTTGGCATGCTGAGGGGAGGATTACAAGTTGTCACACAAAGGAATGCAAATTGCAAGCCAAACTCTCCGAGAGGCCTGTGGAGTAGCCTGCTATTTAGAGCATTTGTGCGGATCTGTGCTTCTCTCTCTCACTATTTTATGTTTCTCTATTAGTCCTAATAACTGTGAAGGGCCTGAGAGTAGCCACTGTATTCATCTCAAATCAATGGCTTTCCCGCACCAGGCCCTATAGACCCCCGCATTTGCATTCTGCCGAGGGAGATGACCAGCAGGACAATTGGCGTTAAGTCTCTTTCAGGCGGCCAAATGGAAATCTTGAATCCTAATTTCTCTCGGCCCCTTTTCTACTCTCCATATTATGATTATTTTCTGCACACAGTTTCTCACTGGTTGAACTCTGAAAAGGCCAAAGGTGAGATTCAATTGTACATATATAAATATATCTAATTGGATAAATTATCGGAAAAAATTGTGTATAGGCCCAATATAGCCAAATAATATAAATTATGATATATACATTCCTCATCCCTTGTTACTTTGTTAGTTTTATTTATTTCTATGCTTAGCCTATTTATGGGCTCATTTTCCACCTTTGCTTCACAGTAGCCTACACCCTTCTAATGATTTCGCTGAAGCTGAGTTTGCAGTTCTCAGACCTCTCTGCAGAAAAGAGGAGCCTCTCTTCATCCATACCTCCTCCTAGCGACTGCAGGATGAACTGCAGGGACAGCAGCCTCCTAAATTAGAGCCCATCAGGGGTATCAGCAGGTCGACCCCCGTTTGAATGAACAGTAGCAGGATTATTCTCAGCGACAGTCTTATCCATATGCTGCCTTGAACAGACAACGTCGGACTCTAGGCCACTTGGCAGGAAGTTGTTTGAGCCCAGGCTGAAAGCCTCATTTTAATGTTTTTG